CTGACATCCACACTCCGTTCAGACATGTGCCCAGCAAGGAGGAGAGCTTCTCTGCCTTGCACTTGTATCTGCTCATCGCCGTTGTGGCCGTGTCGCTTATCTTTCTGCTCAGCCTTATCACTTTAGTAGCCTTTAAATGCCACAGACAGACAGACGGACCCTTCGATAGATACAGTGCCCCGATGATCACCACCCACCCTGATGGGAGCTGGTCTTACTCCAAAGCAACTCAGCAGTACGATGTGTGCTTCAGCTCAGACACACTCAAGAGCGATGTAGTGGTTTTCCCTGGGCCCTTTCCGCCTGTAGAAGCAGAACTGATCAGTATTAATGGAGGCGACACCTTCACCAGGACTCAGACCCTTCCGAACACTGACAAGGTAGGCTATACATTTTGGGGATTTTCCAACTCTTTTTTTCTGACATGCAGTTTATTGATATGTTACACGCCTATTTACATGTAAAAAAAATTCAATAATTATGAAATACTAAGTTCGAATTATATTTAAAAAAGGTAACTTTTTAGCAGTCAATGAACGGTTGTTTGAATGGAAATCACACAATGTGCAAATAATGAAAATCACTCATACATGGAGTGATCAGTACGTTTTCTGATGTAGTTTGCACTTTATTCTGCACTGTACATTGAAAAAGATGGTGTGATGAATTTACTCAATTTTATTGTGTCAATTGGTTGCTCGAAAAAGAATAATTTAGATCCAGACACAGTACATTCCAAAAGTAGATGTAAAGGTTGCAAAGACAGTGAGTAGTCTACAATTTAGACAGAGTTTTCAGTGGATGTATGCAGTTTACTTAAAAAAATCTATCTGGATCCAGATGATTTTATTTCAAGGAACCACTTGATGAAATGAGATTAAGTAAATTGAACACACCATTTTTTTTTGAGGTGCTGCTATCAGTCGAGGTTGTGCACTTTAAGATGAAGGCCTTGTGTGTTCCCTACTGGCTGTCTATGGTCATGTCTGCATGCTGAACTTCCACTTTTGACATCACATATCCACTCATTGTCCATATATAGTAGTGGTGACAAAAGCAAGTCCAAATGCCGCTGTCCGTGAGATGAAGGAAGTCCGCCTCTGTCGACGAGAAGGATCATTACTATTCATGTTTCTGATGTTAATGATAACGCACCTCATTTTATGGAACCTGTTATTAATGTGTATGTCAAAGAAAATACTCCAACTGGATATTCTATTTATTCCATAAAGGCAGTTGATCCTGATTTGGATGTTAATGCAAAAGTGTCATACACATTGTTAGATAGTTATCCAAGGAATATTCTAATTTCAGCACTTATTAACATCAACCAAGAGAGTGGAGACATTGTCAGTTTGCAATCTTTTGATTACGAGAAATTAAAAACTTTTCAGTTCAAAGTTCAGGCCACAGACTCTGGTGTTCCTCCGCTCAGCAGTAACGTGACCGTCAATGTGTTTTTGTCTCTGGGATGAAAATGACAACAGTCCCGCCATTTTGGCTCCCTATTCCGAGCACGGCTCCGTTAACAGTGAGAGCATCCCCTATTCTGCCGAAGCGGGATACTTTGTGGCAAAGATCAGGGCAGTGGATGCAGACTCTGGATACAATGCACTGCTCTCTTATCACCTGTCTGAGCCCAAAGGCAACAACAACCTGTTCCGGATCGGAACCAGCACCGGGGAGATTCGGACCAAGAGGCGAATGAGCGACAATGACCTGAAAAGTCACCCCTTGGTGGTGTCGGTCTGTGATCACGGAGAAGCGTCCCTGTCAGCAACTGTGTCAATTGACGTGGTGGTGCTCGAAAGCACAGCTGACATCCACACTCCATTCAGACATGTGCCCAGCAAGGAGGAGAGCTTCTCCGCCTTACACTTGTATCTGCTCATCGCCACTGTGGCCGTGTCGCTCATCTTTCTGCTCAGCCTCATCACTTTAGTAGCCTTTAAATGTCACAGACAGACAGACAGACCCTTCGATAGATACAGTGCCCCGATGATCACCACCCACCCTGATGGGAGCTGGTCTTACTCCAAAGCGACACAGCAGTACGACGTGTGCTTCAGCTCAGACACACTCAAGAGTGATGTAGTGGTTTTCCCTGGGCCCTTTCCACCTG